CTTCACAACTCTGCAGACATCTGCAGAAGTGATTCCTGAGGGTTTGAAGAGAGGCAGCAGGCCATCTAAATTCTCCATTTCAGATTCTGCTGCTGCTGCTGCTGCTGCTGCTGCGCACTGCTGCTGCTGCCGCTGCCGCCGCCCCGCCTTCTCCTGCTGCCGCAGAACTGCCACGAGCTGCAGCAGCTCTTCAGACGCAGGAGAGTCTTTCAAATGTTTTAGGGGAGCCCCCGGGGGCCCCTCAGGAGGCCCCCCTGAGGGGCCCCCTAGGGGGGCCCCCAGGGGCCCCCCATGGGGGCCCCCTTGGGGGCCCCCGGGGGAACCCCCTGGAGCATTGAAAGCGCAGGTTGTAAAGGCAGACTGGTGAGAAGGGCTGCTGCTGTGAGCAACAAGAAGAGGAGAAGCAATGAAGAAGCTGGTGAGGGCAGCAGCAGCCTCACTGCTGCTGCTGCTGCTGCTGCTGCTGCTGAGCCAGGCCAAGGCCCCTGCTGCGAGGCGCCGAAGGCCCCGCATGCCAACGAGGGCTGCTGGGCCTGGAGCTGCAGAGAGCCCCGGGGCGGCGAGACTCAAGAAGGCAGCAGCAAGACATCGACGCGAGAAACTGGGGGGAAAACGCCCCACTGAGGGACCCTGAACCAATCATTCATTTCTAAATTGTTTAATTATAATTAAAACGCAAAAAAGATCAGAAAAATGCCGAATTTTAACGGAAAATGACGCTGGTGACGAGGAGAGTCGGCTGCCAGTGCTCGCTGAGCTGTCTAGACACCCCGGGATGCAGCGGAGAGTTTATTCTTGAAAAGAACTTTAAATTACTTTCAAATTAATCTTTTTAAATCAAAATTTCCAAAAAGTGTCTCTAATTGCTCCAGCTTTTTAGCGCGAGGCCCGCGAGCTGCTGCCGTGTTCTGGTGTATGTGCAGCTGAGGGTTGCAGAAGTGAGTTCCATTTATTCGAAATCTGATCTAATTACCATCACTTTTATTTATTTTAATTGCAAATATCATCATTTTCATTATTTTAATTATAAATCTGATTAGATATTATTTTAATTTTGAGAAAAAACTGCTTAGAGGCTGCAGAAGAAGTGCCAGAGTGGCTCTTCTGCAGTCTCGATGGAAAGCGCAAAAAGGCTAAGATGAATTTTTCCGATTTATTTCAGATTTTATTTTTTTAATTCATTTTATTCTTTCAAGATTTATTTTAGATTTCATCTTTTAAAAACTAATTTTAGCTTCTATTTTTTGAAGATCCTTTTTTCGATTTTATTTTATTTTTTTGAATTTCAAAGAAGAGGAAACTGCAGCGAAGTGAAAACTAAAAACTAAATAAAACGAAGACTCAAATCTGCTGCATTTAAAAAGAAAACTTTTTAAAAGCCTTTGAGGCAGCAGCAGAGCAGCAAACTCAGGTGTATGTACACGTGAGCACCAGGTGTACGTACACCTCGTTCATTTGCTGCAGCAGAAGCAGCAAATGAAAGGAAATCCACTTCACTTCTTTTTCATATTTCAAGCTGCTTCTCTCATAGCTCTTTTGTTGAATCAGTCGACAATACAACTTAATTAATTAATTAATTAATTAATTAATTAATTAATTAATTAATTAATTAATTAAACTCATTAATTAATTAATTAACAAATAAATAATAAATAAATAAAACAAAAAAGTCCCCTGTAAACGCGAAAGTCCCTACGTTGTGCGCCTGAAGGGCGACAAGGGGTGACGGGGGCTCGCGCGCTGCAGCAGCAGCAGCAGCAGCAGCTGCTGCTGCTGCAGCTGCAAGTGGATTAAATGGGGACTCTTGTGTCTGTAGAAGGCAGAGAGAGGCAGTGGGCCTAACTAAAGGGCAGCAGCAAAGAGTTGCTTCCCACTTCTTTAAGTTTACATCAGTCCAGACACAAAGGCAGAAAAGCTGCTGCTGCTGCTGCTGCTGCTGCAGCGCAGCTAGCCGTGAGGTGTACGTACACTGCGTCTCTGCTGCTCCTCACTGGCCCATGACAGAACAGCGCCGGCGCCCCTCAGCACTGCCACGCCCAGCTCTGCCTCAGCTGGCAGCAACTTGCTGCCATCTGCTGCTGCTGCTGCTGCTGCTGCTGCTGCTGCGCTGCTCACCGCAGCCTCGACCGCCACTGGGCCGTTGGCCTGCAGCAGCAACTTCTGCGTCTGCAGCGACCGCACAGTCACGGCCTGCAGCACAACCCCCGCTGCTGCTGCTGCTGCTGCTGCTGCTGGATGCACTTCGCTGCCTGCATCTGCTGCGGTGCTTTGGGGTGCACCGGCAGCTGCAGCAGCTGCTGCTGCTCCTAAAAACGAAGCAGCTTCCGCCCCCAGCGACAGCAGCAGCTGCTGCTGCCGCTGAGAAGCCACAAAGTGCCACGGAGGCTCTCCAGGAGCTTTTTGCTGCTGGCAGCAAAGTGCGAAGTGTACAGACACCTCAACGTGACCACTGGTCACCCCACAAGCCACAAAGTACTGCGGCAGCTCAAAGCTTACCAGGGAGAAGGGGCACTGGAAGCAAGACCCGCTGCTGCTGCTGCTGCTGCTGCTGCTGCATGCACAGGTACACCTGCAGGCAGCCACATGGCCTGCGACGTCCGCAAGTTCTTTTAAAATCTTTGTCAGTTTCTGCTGCCAGGGAGAGGCCTCAGCTCGCCGGACTGACCACCGGTCACCTGCTGCACTGCAGCA